CCCAGAGACTTTGCCTTATTACTTTGGCTGTGGTTGTTGATTGACTCACAAGACTGTCTGGCAAATTAGACATGAGCCAGGTGTATTAGTTTCCTGGGGCTGCTGTAACAAATTACCACAGACTCAGTGGCTTAAAACAACAGAAATTTATTCTCTCACAATTCTGGAGGCCAGAAGTCCAAAATCAAGGTGTTGGTAGGGCTGTTCTCCCTAGCAACCTTCTAGGAGAGAATCCTTCCTTGCCTCTTCTAGCATCCGGTGGCTCCTGACATTCCTTGGCTTGTGGCTGCATCACTCCAACTTCTGCCTCATTTTCACATGACCTTCTCGTCTGTGTGTCTTATAAGGACATGTGTCATTGGATTTAGGGCCTACCCGGTTAACCCAGGATGATCTCAACTTGAGATCATTAAGTTAATTACACGTGCAAAGACCCTGTCTCCAATAAAGCTTATATTCACTGGTCCTGGGGCTTAGGACTCAGACAAATCTTCTGGGGGCCACCATTCAACCACTACACCAAGGAATACATGTTGTCAACTTTATTACTACTTTTTTTATATGGAATGTATTATCAACTTATCGCAATATTACAAAATGTAAATAAGAAAAAGGAAAGCACTTTTTTTAAAGATTAAATGATTTATGTGTCCTATATAAGGGCATGGTGNTTTGCCCAGTGGGCTGTGTTGAGAAGTTTTTAGGCCTTGACTAAATTCAGAGGGAAGGATTTGCTCTGGGATACCTGCCTGCCCTGGACACAGCAGGGAGGAATGGAGACACACATCCCACCGTTGCTGAGGTCAGACACCCTCTCTATACTTCCCTTGTCCTTATCACAGCATCAGCCACAATCCTGTAATCTTGTTCTTGGAATATCTTTGGGACATTCTCTCAAGTGCTTCTTGAAAGAGCCTTGTACAATAAGTAGGGGCAGATATTGTCCTAATGGGGCAACTGTGAAAATTAATGCTGAGAGATTAAGTGACACGCCCAAATCACAATGAGTAGAACCAGAGGCCTTTCTCCTTCTGGCTCAGTTCATCACTCTACCCACTAAGCTATGACGATTTTATTCACCTTTGTGTCCTCAGGGCCTGGCACAAGCCTGGGACAAAGTGGACACATACTAACTTATTTATTGAATGAATGACCAACTTTGCCAACCTCTTACATAATCAGTATATTTGTGGAGAGCTTGCACGGTCTGCTAAAAACAAG